GTGCAGCGACTGCTGATTTACCTTTACAAAAGGGTACACTTAGGCTTCTTCTTCTTCTTGACAGCTAAGGCAGCCCTTGTTGCCGTCTCGAAAACTTCCCGCACACCCTCCTTGGTCTTGGCAGAGCACTCCAGATAAGCAAATGCATTTATCTTCTCGGCCATGTTACGACCCTCTTCAGGCTTTACCGGCTCCTGCTTCATTTTCAATAGTTCTTTAATAGTTGGAGCGTCATTCCTTAGATCCTGGGGGGAAAATGAACGGTCATTAAGTACTAGTACTGCCAAACAGATTAAAGAACCATCTAAATGGCCAAGGTTAACAAGTAGTGTTTGTCATCTGTCGAAATATTTCTCCCCCCTTCTAACTGCTTTTCTTATTTACTTCTTTGATGATTTACTTATAACAAGGGCAGTATTTTCCCCATGTAATAATTTCACAGCAATAACAAACTTAAAATCTAAGTCGTTCACAACACCAAATCAAAATCCAAGTACCGTGTCAAAGCCACACCAAGAACACTGTATGAACTGTTCACCTACCTTTTTGTTTCCAACAAGGATAATAGGAACATTTGGACAGAAGTGTTTAACTTCGGGCGTCCATTTTTCTGGAATATTTTCTAACGAGTCCGGAGAGTCAATAGAGAAACACATGAGTATGACATCTGTGTCGGGGTAGGACAGAGGCCTCAATCTGTCGTAGTCCTCCTGACCTGCTGTGTCCCATAACGCTAGTTCCACCTGCAGAGGCAAGGTAAGAGGAAAGATTAAGAACTGTTTTGGTTGATACACGCATACAAACACACAACAGCCTTTCAACTGACCATTTATTTTTCTTTTCTTTTTCCAATTATCTTTATATTGCCAACAGAAGACAAATGGAAAAACAAAGCTCTTAACCCTACTGTGCATTATGTAATGTTTTGCACCAAAAGGAGATAGTAATGTTGAAGTACATAATCTAAATATTCTTCAAAAACTAGTTTGTTTATTTACTCCCCCAATTTTGAGAAAACATCTTTCCTGGGAGAAGGGAGTGAGTGCACAAAATCTAAATAAAAAAAAAGAAAGAAAGAAATCTGCCGTAAACACAAAGTGCAAACTTGCAAAAGTTACTTTACTGAATGTCTGAATTATATGAAACTTACCTGTTTTCCATCAACTTCAATATCTGCTACATAATTCTCAAATACTGTGGGCACGTAGACCTCAGGGAACTGGTCTTTGGAGAATACTATGAGGAGACATGTTTTACCACAGGCACCATCACCTACAATTACTAGCTTTTTCCTAATGGCCGCCATGGATTCTGCAAGGCAAGAGAAAAACAAGATTTGTGGGTGATCAAGAAATGAAATGGACATGCACTTGATATGCTCCAAAACTGTCAAGTCTACTTCACAAAATTCACAAAAATATTACTTGTTCATTTTTGCCCTTTCCCTTGCTCCCTTTCCAAGGAAGCACCAAGCGGTTTCATCCAAACAAACCATTTCTCTCTTTAGCTAAAAAAAAAAAAAAAAAAAAAAAAAAAAAAAAAAAGGACAACTGACATATGCCACGACACACAGCGCACATATGGATTCATGCTTAAATTGTTAACCCCTCTGTACAGTGCGCATTACTGGATTCATCTACGTACTCACGTGTTGGGTTATATGTCCCTATAGATCTCTGTTCATCATACAAACTAGAAGTCCATAAATTTGTGACCCTCAACCATGGGGCATCTTCCGTCATGCTCTGTGAATCCAACAAGTGGCAGAGAGTAGTAAACTGATTGGCAATGCCTTATTCAAGCTTCTTGATGAATCTGGACTAATGATTTTAACCAATCACTTTTAATATAAACGGGTGTAACCAACTACTAGAATCCAGTGTCGTAAGTTTTGCAATAACACCGAACTGCACATGAGGTGATACAGCCCATACAAAGGCATAAAATCATCTAAAGTAAAGCCTCTCATTTGGTGAACTAACTTGTATTTAGCAAATTTCACCAATGACTATCATGGATTGTCCTAAACAAATTTAGCGTTTGGAGACAAATTATCATCATTATAATTAAATCTGACAGTCCCCCCTCCCCATCATCCCGAAACGATGTCACAGAATATGAAACGCAAAGAAAATGTGTCCTGTCCGTTGTTCCATAAGCATCTTATGCAAAATTAGTTCATGAATACGTTGCCGATATGGCATCAAAGACGTACAAGTTGTACATCGATGGAGAGGGGGTATTAAGAAACTTAATATGGACACAGGTAAATATCCAAGCAAAAAGAAGTGCCAATATCACACAATAATAATAAAGATAATAATAAAAACAGCAGCAGCTTCAAAGATAATTTCTCTCCCAGTCTCCATAAATAAAGTATCTAAAACAGAAAATCTCTATTTACTCTCCTTTCGTTCACATCATGGTATTTCAGAGTGAAATTGTGGCAAGTCTGCTGTCTCCAGTAAAAAATATTCTTTCCATTTGTTTAATTATCTGCAATTAGGAAGCCTTTGGAGTACCACTTCTTTGCCAAATACAAGGCTTCACTGTATGCAGTTATTAAAGATTCTATTGTAAAATCTAGCAATCACTTTCATGGTGCACCCTGCTGTTTGAGTAAATCCTTTTATTTTATCAACATTACTTTCTAACGCTATCTTAAACTGAATCAGCTTTACGAATATAACAAAGAATTTCACATGGACTCTAAACGGCAACTACCAGCTTTGGAACAAATACAAGAATAAAGATTTTCATCATCATTTTGACAAAACGTAAGCGGACAAAGCATTATCTTAACCACATGAAAAAGAATGCCCTAAAGTAAAAAGAAAGTACCTAAAATGCTCGGCATATCCACCGACAGATAATAGGCAATACTAAGGCTTCCTTCTTTTGTATCAGTGTCGCTGAAAAATGAAAATATTCCTGACTGCCCAAAACTAAATCCAATATCTTTAATTCCATTACTGTTCCTATCACTGACTTTTTTTTTCCTTTCAAGTCAAGTAGATGATAAAGGCATCATTTGAATACAAAAGGTAACGGAATAAAACTAAAACCACAAAATCAAAATAATAAAAACACAGAAAAACAATAAGCCTGTCGACAAACAAACCTACATCATCAAACTGATTTTCCTCAATCAAAAAGAAATTTATTCTATGAAAATACCACTTTTCTACAAGGATCTACAAGATTTTTTTTCTGTACATAAACATTCATTTGCAGTTATTTGCATCTTTTAAAAGCAGCAGACCATTTACAAGATCACAACTGTCACCACAGATGGTAATTTAAGGGCAGACAGAATCCACCTCTTACTGTCTCTGAACTGGTTCATATTTCACAAAGGCAAAAGAGCACCACAAATTTTAGGATGATCAGATGTCACAGAACATAGCAAATTTCAAATAAAGCTACAAGGATAATTAACAATTGTTTTCTTTTTCAACCACAGTATGTTTTTTAAGCATATAATCTGTCACCATTAAGATGGATTTCAAATGGTGGGCCTTCCATCAGAAATCACAGCTTGTTGATCTGAACACTCAATAAAAATATAAGAAAAAAGTCACATTTTGTAAGCCACAGTATACAGCTTCGAAACATCAGGCAAACCCAGAACTGATCCTTAACCTAGGATAAAATATGTCTACGTCCATTCTAAAAAATCCAGAGGGACTTGATCATCTATAATCCAACGAGAGGAAAAAACGTCTTGTAACAAGCCAAAATCCCCTTTGCCCAATAATGCCTCAAGGATAATGTGTTCTGGCCTGAAGCGGGAGGTTTTCCAGGACCCGAGTACCGCACTTCCAGGATTGGGCGATGGGAAGGACTGGCTTACTGCAGTGACACCATACAAGTTTCATAAAGAATCAACCCCATTGAACCAGTCACCGATGCCCCGCCCACCCTCTGAACAAGTGGTATGACAGATTCATATTGACTTGTTAATAGAGCATGAATTTTTGCAAGACAATATTCAATATTTTACAATGTAAAGCAAGCAAGCATGTCAGATTTGGAAATGCTGGAGCCTCGTATCCTTTTAAAAACATCTTCATAAGTTTCAAATCTACCAGAACTTTCTACTGTGAGAACAAAAATACCTAACCAACAAAGCAAGTTCAACTTCTTACAATATATATATAAATATATATTGTCACCCTTTTCCAGTGTTAAAAGGCCACTCTCATCACAGGAGCTCAGGACAAACTCTATTCGTAGTCTTTGTTAAAGTTGGGGTTAATCAACTGTATCTCATTTTCTGCCATATCACATGTGCAAGTTCATGACTGAATTTTAAATCTTGCAGAGCTGGAAGATATTTTTTATGCATCAGAAAGCAGACTCTCTGTAAAGTAAGAATTTCTGATCAAATCACCGTCAACATTTCTCGAACTATTCAAGTCAAATACCTATCACCTGGTTTTAAAAGCATTGCTGGTACATAGAATATCAAGAACTGATATTCTAAAACCCCTAATTTCACTTTTCTTTCCAAAAATCCTTTAGTATGAAGAGTAGGTCATTTTTCATCATAACCAACAAATGTACAAACCAAAGTTCACCATTCACTGATAAGGCTGCTTAATACCTGCTATATATTCAGCATCTCCACCCCACCCACTTACCAGCCTCTGATCAATCAATGGGTGGGGCCTGTGACTATGACTGGCAGTGTGAGTCTACTTTATGCTCCAATGTGAAACAATTCTGTAACACCAAGGTAAGGGGGAGAAAACTCTGAGTATATTTCTCTATTTTCCAAAAATAAAATTGGAAAAGCCAACTATTCTGTCCTAGTACCAAGAGAATCAATTTTCTCATACTGAACCAGAAGGAAATTAGTGTTCACCCAACTGTACACAAAATACTGGTTTAAACAAGTATTCTACAGTAAACTGGGTATACCCAATAAGGCTTCTTTACTTTACAGAGGTTGAACAAAGATACCAATATAACCAATTTCTCTGGACTTCACTGATATAACCTCCAAATTTGCCTGCTAGATAAATTGCTGTAAACAATGCACATATGGAACACTTGCTTACAAATTCTTTTCCTACAATGGCTACTTCTTGACTGAAAACCAGAAAATACATGCCAATAACAGTCAGCTTTCAAAACTGGCTATTCTCTTGAAACCATATTGATTGAATCTTGCTGTAAGCTATGGTTGAAGACCTACATTCACAAATCCAACAAAATAATGAAGCGTATGTATGAGTACGAGTACAGAGGCTTTGTAACTTTTACTAGAAGGAAGCATATTGCTTTTGGTTGTCCAGTCCTCAAGTGCTTAGATGATCAAAATGCATCAAGATCTTAAAGGCAATGCAATCATATTCAAAATACAGACCATTATAAACATTAATAATTTACAACAGAGAAAAGCCTACTTCTCGTGTTATATCCGTAAATAATAATAATAATAAAAAGAAATTCCCACGCATCATCAGTACCAGCACAAACAAAACCACATCCCACTTTGCCTTCCCAAACCCTAAACAAACTTCCAAAACAAACCTAATAACCAAGGGGCGGAACCTGAAACCGGTGACAGCACAAATGTCAAAGACGGCCGAATCTCTTGGAAAACAAGTGGAAAAAAACAAAGAAGGTAAGCCCCTCCCCTTTTCCCTATTTCCTCATTCATCCAGCAAAATAACAAACTAAGAGAAGGAGCATGAGAAAATAGAAACACGAATAATAACAAAGAACAGCTGATTCAGAGTATGGCTTCACCACAACACAAGACATGGAACAACAACAACAACAAAAGGCCTTTCTCACGCTGAAATGGGACCCTCCAGACAACCCCGCCCACATCTACCATACACGCGCTTTCAATCCCTCGGCTTGGGCACGCAAATCCCCGGACAAAACCCGTGACCTAGATTTTCCCCCCTGTAGTCCTATCCCCTTCGGAATGCCACTCCCTCCCGGAACAAAACAAACTCGCCGCACTTCCCCTCGCTCGGAACAACAACACGAGTGCGTCGGGGGGAGTTTCACCTCCAAACAGAATTCGGAAAAAGCAAGAACACCCTCTGACGGATTATTCGCAGGTTCCCTCGCGTCAGGAGAGCCACAAAGTCGTTCAATTGGGAGCCTGGAGGACCCTATCTCTCCTCCTCCGGGAAAAAGCCAATTCCACAGCACCCTGGCGTCCTCGCAGGGAATAGACGAGGAAAATAACCCAATCCTCTTTTCCCTCCGTGTTGGAAAAGTCCCAGAACGAGGTCCCTTTCCAGCTGATTCACGGGTTATCGACGTCCGCTGAGAATCGCGACTCCAACCCACGGCCATTTCGACGTCAAATCCACGAAAAAAAAAACACTCGGGGGGAAAAAAGACGTAAAAAAACCGGGGATATCGGGAGCGAAAACAAAAGTGCTGGGACGAGACGGGAGCCAGAAGAAGCTGCCGAGGGTAACGCCTTCTCCGCCCTCGAAAATCCCCCGATTTTGCCTCCCAAACTCCCCCTTCGGGAGGCTCTCCTACCGGTCTAGGGGCGTCGCGAGGACTGAGGGGGATCGCGGGGGACTGGGACTCCTCCCGAAGGCGCCGAGAGGGCTTCCCGAGCGGCCGCCGAGCCTCCGAAAAACGACCGAGGGAGGAACAAACGGCTCTAACGGACTCCTCTCGCTCGCCCTCGCCCTCTTCGACGCCCTTTTCCTCCGTCGAGCGGCCCTCCCGCCCCTCCAATCGCACGCCCGATCCTCCGGCAGACACTCCCGTCGCCCCCGAGCCGCGGTGCGAGGCGGCCGAAGGGCTCAAGGACTAGTTATTACCTCACGAAGGGCACGAAGTGGGAGACGAGCCAGGGTCCAAGATGGCTGCCGGGCCACACCTTAAGGCCAAGAGGAGAGGAATGCGTGACGTCACTCGCGCCGCGACCACAAGCCTCCGATTCGGAAACAAGTGACGATCGCGCGGGCCCGGGGGAGGGGGAGGGAGGACGGGGGAGAGGGATGGAGGGGGGGGGGGGGGGCAGGAGGTTGGATAGGGAAGGGGAGGTAGATAGGTAGGTGACTAAGAGGGGGATGGTGGATTGGTGATAGGGAGGAGGGGGGGGGAGTGGAGAGGGATGAGCCACTGCGTTCGAGTTCGGGTGAATTTGGGGTTTCTATATTTCATTCTGAAATTGGGTGTTTTGGAGGGTCTTGGGACAATGAATGAAAATAAAATTTGTTTGTAAGGAAGGAATGAAGGAACATACCAATTTGTTTCGTTTTGAAAATCTTGTATAAAGGTTTGATTTTTTTCTGTGCTTCAGTGTGCAGAAATACAAGCACAAGCGTGCCCACACACTCATACATTCGCTCCCTCTCCCCCTCCCCCATCGCATCTCTCTCTCTCTCTCTCTCTCTCTCTCTTCGTATAACTTCGTATAATGTATGCTATACGAAGTTATTACGAGAAATACAAGCACAAGCGTGCACACACACTCATACATTCGCTCCCTCTCCCCCTCCCCCATCGCATCTCTCTCTCTCTCTCTCTCTCTCTCTCTTTCTCTCTCTCTCACTCTCTCTTTCTTTCTCTCTCTCTCCCTCTCTCACTCTCTCACTCTCTCTCTCTTTTCCTTGGCATACATAAAAAGGGATATAATGACATTACCAGAAAATATATAGAACGTAAATAAATGATGAGTTTCAAGCCCATTATTTTCATTAAAACAAATATAAATAAAATCTACCCAAAGTAAAAAAAAATACCATCTCTTTTGTGTCAAGGAAATGCCTATAGTGTGTTTTGAAAGAAAGAGGAAAGATATGGCATAACGTAAAAGTTATATATATATTTAAAGTATTGTTCAAAAGATTTGAATTTCCTTCTCCTTCAAGTACCAACGCTAACAGTACAATTTAGAGAAAACAAACAGACGTTTACAGAGAAAAAATCGTCATAAAATTAATTAAAAATAATCATTAACTATTGGCTATTAACATGATCCGTTGGTTGTCACATGAACTTCAATATTTACAAGACTATTGAATACAAGTCACAACATCAAGAATTAACAATCTGCTTTGTACAACCCATTGCAAATGACAATAGAGATAATAACCTTAATCAGATAATAATAATAATCATAACATCACCACTGATGGCGGGAAATTGATAGTTACTACGTGCGTATAAACTGTTTTGCTTATTCCATTCATTTAACTTACAACTTTTAAATTAAATCCATATGAATGATTAAAGAGTTAATTCATTCATTCATGATCTATTCTAAGTAGGTCTTGGTTGTTAAAAAAAAATATATATTTTACAAAGCGAACTGATACCTCAGGTTATTTACAAGTTAACAGATTTGACATGTCAAATCAAATGATTAATAAGATTACACATGCATGTGTTATTTATATATATATATATATATATATATA